TGAGATAAGCGACAACAGGGTGCAGGGCAACACACACGTGCTAGCAGGCAACAAGAGGGGTGCTTGTGGTTAAGCAAGGGGAAAACAAGAGACAAGAGTACAGACGCAACTCAACATGCAGGCATGTGTCGTGTCGTCATCTTGGTTGATGACGGCACCGTGCCGAGTGCTCGGGATCGCTGCCGAGAGGCAAGCGGTTCCGAGGCACTGGACACGGCGTGGCACGACCCATGCAAACGCTACCATACGACACTCTCGAATTAAGCATGACGTCAATCAGACTAAACATGACAACAGAATGTTAGGAGAACAAAGAACATGCAAGGCAGTACGGTGCCGCGAAGGGCAAGAAAGGGAAAACAATGGGACACAGCGGGGCAAGGTGCAGGGAACGGGGAGACCGAGAGAGAGAGAGAGAGAGAGAGAGAGAGAGAGAGAGAGAGAGAGAGAGAGAGAGAGAGCGGCAGGGGGAGGCAGGCGAGCGACGTTACATGTTCACACTCACACACGCACACGTATACACACCTTTCTTCCAGAAGTAGTCATTTCGACACATCACTGCGGCCAATACTGTTCGTGGCGAAGGCGGTGTCTCCATTACACACCCACACACCGTGTCACCCAGGAGTTCATAGTTGAATACGACTTCGGGCTGACCGTAGACAGCTAGGTCACTGTCTCCACTCGGGAGCAGCGCATACTTGATCTCGCCTTGCGTAAGCAGATACGCAAGTTGCGCGTCTGCTTCAGCTGGCGGGGTGAGGAAAGATACATTCTTCTCCGACGCCAGCACTCTCTTTAGCTGTCGAATCAGGCAATCCGGAAGGACTGCCTGCCTTTGTGTGTCACGCCGTAGCTTCAGTGGGTGGTGTCCCTCTAGTACCACAATCACTTCTGCTATCATTGCAAGGTCTAAAGATAAGCACGCAAGCACACCGCAGAATTGGGTGAGCTTCGTTTCTCTTCTGCAAACACGCAGCTACGTCAGATATCTTAACAAGAGACACACCAAAAAACAAGGCATCCGTGCACTTACGTTTGATGTGCGTTGCCGCCAGAGACACAATCTCTAGCAATAGCTCAGGATCGATCTTTTTGCCTGCTTGCACGTGCTCCTGAAAATGTCTCTGAAGCGACGCATCTGTGATGCGGAACACATCCGTACGTCAGTACACATCCAATAGACAATAGATACAGTAGATACAATAGACCCAAGGGCAGACGACAGGCAGGGCAGATATACTTAGCGCATAATGACATATATTCCCTCACGAGCACACCTGTTCGAGCTGCGTTCATGTACTTGAGTAGAAGACCGTAGAGCTCAATGTTGACAGGCAAGTCCTGTCTGCTGAGTCATCATTGACCTCCCTTCTTCACGACACCACAAATTTGCATTCACCTCTCTTGTGTTCTGGAATGTTCACGTGATTTCCCTCCAACCTGTTGCACGTGCAGTGTTTAGCTTGTGTGGTTGCTCGATGTTACATGCTCTTGCATAACACACCACATAACCACACAACTCTCAACAAACACTGCCACCACTTTGCGTTGTCGACAATTCTTGTCTTCTGCTCTGTTTCTTTCTGTTGGAGTGTTCATTCATCCTACATCCTTGTTTGCTTCACAACTCAAGTAAACACACACAACTCTCTCTTGCCAAGACAATCTCCCACACAACACAGCACACTCTGCACACACAGCACACACACACACACAAGTCTCCAACAACAGCACCACCACCATGAACTTGCAACAAAGACTTGTGTGTGCTTTTTTGCTTGGTGTGTGTTGTGGTTCCACTCCAGCACTCCTTACTCGAACCACCACTACTCCACACCACACGACACACATACACACAACACCAACCACACTTGCTCTTGCACGTGCACTTGCACTTGCCTACTGTCTGAGTCCATTTTACTACTGCTGTATCAAGTCCACATTCCGATACACATCTCCTACACTTGGTCTACGACACTTGGTAGCGATATCGTTCGCTCCCCACCTCGAGCACAGAGCAACCACACACCAACTCAGCTGCAAACACGAAATTGTACTGTCTTCGACAATGGCACAACGTCGTACTTCTCCACGCCCGGCTTTGTAAACATCGTGTGCGCCAGATGTCTTTGCGTCATCGTCCTCAATGACGTCGTCTGCCGCCTATATAGATCTCACCCCAACTGTGGGTCTTGCATCTTCTTGGTAATCAGCGCCATCAGCTCCTGTCGACGCCGGTGTTCAATCCCTTGATCGCTCGGCTCTCACCCACATCACGACTGTGACGGGGCTGTGGTCGAGGTGTGTCGGTGGCTTGTTCTGTGTACTGATGTGCGAAGTAAACCAGGGAACAAAAGAACTGAACAAGGCACAGACAAGTGGAAGAGGTGTGGCTCGTTTTGTGGTCGGTGTGAGGATGATGTGGGTGACATGGAAAAACAGTAAATGGCGGGTGAGGGCGGGTGTCAATAGTGCCGAGAATACGTCCATTGCGTGTCGGTGGTTTTGGCCTTGGCAAATTGCTCGGGCACGGAGCCATGCGCAGAATGGCGTGAATTGCGGGCACGTTCGACGCGCGCATTTGTCAGGTCTGCTCCGTCGAATGTTGCGCCTTCGTAGTTGACGTTGCGAAGGTCAACGGAAATCAACTCGGCATTGTTGAGGTTGGCGTGCTTCAGGTTGGCTTTGGAGTCGC